AAACTTTGAATAGGCTATTCTAAACACGCGCTGAGAAGTCGTGTAGGCCTGTCAAACCCCTTTTTACATTGAACTGTTAGATCCTTAAGTTTCACGCGATCGACTTTACTTTCCTTTAGTTTCTTTGCCTGAAGCCATTTCCCATCACCTATACTTGAATCAGCTACATAATGTTTTCCCGACTTGAGGCAGTCACGAACACGTGCGATGAGGTCTGCTCATTTACCGCTCGATTTCAAGCCTCTACACTTTAACCAACACTTCGATTGTGTGTTTGTATAGTTCTCTTGGTCTTGCTCGAACTTTGAGCCAGGAACACCGTCGTTTTGATTTAATATACGAGCTTTAGAGGCGTTTGAACTAGAGATGGGCGCATCATCGCCTATATTCATTTACTCGAGAAGCCTATTTGTTTGTCCTAATCGCTCTAGGGGGGTCAAAATGTCGGGACGTCACAAACGCGCAGCGCCATTACGCATACCAAGTTAACGTGATGAGTTAGCGAAAATCACGAAATTCAACTGATTGGATGATGTTCCATACATCCTGAGAACAAGAGCAAACATTCATTTCTGCTGAGATTTGACTTAACGGGCTATGAATCAACGCAATACCCACAAAATGAATTAAAATGCAGCGCATCATAAATTTCCGACATTGCGGTGTCAAGTTATGGAAGCGTATCGCGTTTCAAATTTTTGTAAATTTATTAGCTGTTGTGTGCAAAACGACATCGTGATAGGCAGGGGCCTGTTAGTTCCTGTTAGAAACCGCAAAATCGTTGATAACGCAACAAGGCAAAAAATGCGATCAAAGCCCAAAACTGCACATAAACCTGACATTCTGTCGCTCTAGAGGTCTACGAAAACTAAGACCCCCTCAAATCGAATCGGTCGAAATGGAAAGTCAAAATGTAACCAAAATAGGCCTAATCTGTCAAATTATCTCTCGTCCGATCCTTTCCACCGAGTTATAGGTCAAATCGAACGGTAAATTTAGGGGTCTAATTTATTAGTTTTCGTAATTTCGAAAACTGCAAAGCTAGATTCTGTTTTAAAGCTGTGAAATCATTAGCAGAAGGGGTTCCGTGTAGAAGTTGTGCTGTAATCGACAAATAGGCTAATTGTTGTTGTTTAATACCGTTTCGGTTCTTGGACTTATCTATAGTGTATGACAGAAATATGATGAACAATATGTTTGCAGTACAA